CGTCACCTTGGCTCTTATTATTGGCCAAAACTGATCCAATCAGATTCGCGTCAGCCTCCACGGCTGAAGCGTGTGACTCGCCTGCGTCATCCGTGCCCCTTGAGGTTGGAGACTCTTCCTGATTCGCTGAAAAGCGGGTGTCGATCTCCGAGATCAACACGTTTTCTCCTTCAGCCGTCGGCGGCGACGCCGACGCTTGCTGCTCTTGCGCGCGTGCTCGCGCGCGCCCAGGGTGCTCCGGAACAGCGGCATTAGGCGCTTTCTCGAGTGGGGAGTCGCGCTCACCTGTCGGTGCGTGCGTAGCGGCAACAGGGCCATCGCTCACGGTTCCGCTGTCGCGACCGAAGCGCACGAGAGTGCGCTTCTCCCAATCGATGCCCGGATCATGCCGTGCAAGCCACGGCATGCCCAATACAATGTCAAACTTATCGTCCGGATCCAGGACGATAAGTTTCTCGTAGAAGGGTCTCGTCTTCAACGAGTCCCAGCTCTGCTCCTCAAAGCGCTCTTTCTTCGTCTTCGCACTGAGAGGGTCCTCACGCTCAGTGGTGCTCTCCATGAATAACTGCCTCAGTTCTTCATTCTCGCTCTTTGTTCTCTCGGCGTCCGAGATAATGCATATTTGCTCGATGCGTCCATCGTGTAAGTCACACGCGAAGCGCTTCCAGCTCATGACTGAAAGCGAAGTCAACCCCGACGCTTGCGCCGGAGGGTTAGCGAGAGCCATCTCCCTGTACCGGAACCCAGCACAGGTACGCGTCAAGACGATGAACGTCTCGACGTCCGGCTTCTCAGCCTCCGTCTGCCCGGAAGACATTTCTTGTAGTGTCTCGGCCCCAGGCCGAGACTTGCGCAGCGATCTTCGCATGCGTCGTCTTCTTGTTTTGCGGAGCCCGGCTCCGCTTGGTTCTTGACCTCGTCCAGGCCCAGCCGTGGACACCTCGGTCGGGCTAGCATCAGCTCTGGCGTGACCCCCTACAGCTGCCTCGTCCCCCACCGACGCCCCGCGAGTTGCCAACGTGACCGAAGGCGCGGGCGTTGGCGACGGTGGAGCGCTGGCGCTTGGCGGCGGTGTTGGCGGCGAGCTGGAACCCTCTTCAACGGGAACTGCCGGCGGGGGAGTCTCGGTCGCCCCAGCAGCAGACTCAGGACTACTTGGAGGAGCCGGTGGAGGGTCGACCGAGGTCTCGGAGGCGGCAGGAAGGAGCGCAGGGTCGCCTGCAGGCGCGGCCGAGGCTGGAGGCACAGTACCAGCGGCGATAGGAGTGGTGGCACCCGCCGAACGAGCCTGGCGTGCCGGACGACGAAGTGTCGGTGGTGACATCAACAGCTCCCTGAGACGATCAAGAAAGAGATCGAGTCAACAACGAGGATCCGAATCACAGTGAGAAGCGGCAGGAGCAACGAGCGTACCGGTCCGGAGCACTAAAGAGCCCGAAGGACAGCGGCAGCCGTATCGGCAAATGCACGCGACGGAGGAGCCATGGAGTCGAAGAACCGAGGACGCCTAGACGCTCACCAGCGTGGCGGACTCGCGTCGAGGCGGGGGCGGTTGTGGTATTAGAAAGTGGCAGTTTCCAACGCTGTTGACCCGCCAGCCCGACAATCAAGTTCAATCAAGGGGCAAGCAAGGCAAGGTCAAGCGAGAAACGGAGATGGCTGCTTCTGATTGGATGATGACATTATCCTCGGTAGAGTGACAGGCAGTGGCCGAAGCCTCGTCGGGTCCTAATAGAACCCCGAACGAGGCTTCATGGTACCCACTTTCAGGTACAGATGCATTTAGTTACGTACTTCGACCGCACTTATTAGTGTGGCCGCGGTCGTCATTTGATGTATCCGGAATCACCTTATTGCGGTCGTTCACACTAGATATTTGTATAGGAACATAGGACGCATCATAGGATGACCAGAACGAGGCCCCAGGGCCTCAGAAAACTCAGTAATAAAAAGACAGTCTTCCCCCAAAGCCAACAAGGGTCAAGTCCGACTTCGGTAAGTGTCGCTAGCTTATTGTAGTGCCTGGACACGCTCGGCTGCGTGTGGATGTCTGTCGGGGAGCTTATCGTGCATTGACCGAGAGTTTCCTTGGCAGCGCCAAGCGTTGGCGTGGCCGGAGAGGCAGGAACGGTTTTAGAGTACCGTTCAGTGTATATTTGTGGGGTTAGAGTGTCCCTGAGACCTACCGAGGTTTTACCTTGGTCCCTCTGTATAAGGCAACACGCCGGTACCCTTATTTTCTGAGGGACTGTAGCGGGGTTGCGCGAAAGCGCTACATAGTATCCTAGCCTTAGCTCGTGGCTAGCGGTACAGGTTTTTGGGTTGACCGAAGACAACCTAAGGTGCACTGAGGCGCTTGCAACCGACCCGGTGTAAGGGATCGTTCCTGGTATTCAGGTTTTGATCCAATAAGCGCTTACCTTTGCGGGTTAGCGTGTTGTTGGTGTCTCTAATATCTTATGGTAGAAGAGAATTTTAGTGGTATTGCCACACCACATCAGCGCGTTGTGTCCGAGCATTAGCTTCAAGTGGCTACGCTACCGGATGTGGTCAACGTGTGCAAAACCTCCACGAGGCGCCAGCGCGCTGTGTCCGAGCATTAGTTTTAAGTGGGATAGCTTCACGTCGTGGACATAAAGCGTGGCTGAGATTGGTGGTCATATTGTGACCATGTATGGAGGCGTGGTTTGTATGTGTGTGTATCAATCTCTACTTACATGCAAAAGCGTTCTAGCAGCTATTTGTGTTTGGAAGCACGGTACGGGTAGGTTCCAAGAACCCGACGGCTCCTGCCTGAATCCTCGCACCAATAGCGGTGTCCGGACGACCGGATAGTAGTGAAAGCTGGGCTCTACAGGCTTCAACACTCGCGAGGAAACTGTGAGGAACGAGTGATCGCCATCTCGCGTTTTCTTCGTGCTTGCTCGGCTCACAAAAACCGGAATGATAAGGTCAGCTCCGTTGTTACCTCGTGCAAACACTCCTGCAGCTCGATGTCCCAGCAAAAAAAAACACAGCGTTTCTTCCGTTGGCCTCTTGTGGCAACTGCACAAAATGAAGATCAGGTCAACGATATACTTTAGTTTCAGCTATTAATGCTACTTGCAAGTGACACGGCGCTCGAACTTAAACGCAAAGTGCAGGAACACCTCAAGGGAAAGGAGTTCGACTTCCCTCTACACGATAATCCATTTTGCATGAAGTGGACGCTAATCGTCATCCCCTCGAGCGGCATGGCAAAGTTTGGAACCTCTTCAAAGAGGTTGCTGCAGATTACCCCCAGATGAGTCACGGGACATCTCAATTGGTATAGGAGAGGTTTGCAAGAGGCATAGGCTCGGCGTTGATGTATCACACATGTGACTATGGGGCGGTAAGGAACAAATGTTTCAAGCATGGTGGTGGTCTGCGGTGTGCATTCCAAGACTGCGAATCGAGGGCACCAGCGTGGCTGGTGCGCAGACACAGTGGTGCAGCGCAGTGTTCAACCAAAGTGTGGTGTAGGGAACATCAAGTTTTGTGTCACACTCCACGGCCGCAGTGGAACAACGTACCAGGAGCCAAGTACTACTCGGCGGGATGACCGTCCGCCGAGCTCAGTGGGCAAGAATGCGCTGGTGGACGACCGCTGAACTCGGCTGATGGTGTCAGAAACTCAAGGCACACCGGCTTCGACCTGGTGACACGTGGCAGGCCCAGTGATGAAGACCCAGCCGAGTTCAGGAAGGCACTGGACACACTCAGCCGAGATCATGGGGAGTTCAAGCCGCCGAGCTCGGCTAAACGGTACCATGTACCGTCCGATACGGTAACCAGGCTCAATTGAGTCCGGGAGTCGCGCAGTCGAGTTCACGGGTCGCTCCGCCGAGTTCGCGGGTCGCTCCGCCGAGTTCACTGGGTTATCCGGCTCAGCCGAGTTCACCGGCTTATCCGGACACTTTATCCGGCTCAGCCGAGTTCGAAGAGTTATCCGGACGCCTTATCCGGACCAGCCGAGCTCAAGCGTCGCTGCGCTCAGCGAAGGGTCGGCCGAGATCCAAAACCACCCACTTTCATTTGGTATTTGTATAGGATCTTAGGAATAGTAGAGGCGCCCCTTCAGGGCGCCCGACAGAGATAACAACCAAACAGAGCAGAATTTTCTAGGTCCACAACACGTGCACGCGCTTCCAGTAAGTCCCTGCACGGGCCGGATTATGTCTGCTGTCAGCACCCGAGAGGCATAGCTTGTAGGGTGTTGACTGGTAGCGCCAAGAGATTAAGGGCGGCCCGGGTTGGGCGCTGTCTCGCCAAGCGCGAAGGAAAAGTCTCGCCACCGCAGCGAGCCGGTGTTCCCGTACGTCCCGGGCACTGATTGCTGAGTCGAGAAGCCTTTGCTCTCGGCGACCCGTAAAAGCCTGCGAGGGCCGTCGTCCGTCCTTTGGCGGAGGGCACGGGATTTCTAATTCCGGAGTCAGGTAACTCAGCTGGCTTCCGTGATTGACTGGCTTGGGGTACTTGGTCTCGGCGAGGACGAGACATCACTGTCCCGGAAGGGCCGAACCGCTGGGGTACATCTCAGCGCAGGCCAACATGGGCCGACTAGCTCGGCTGTTGTTGTGTTTGTAGCTACGGTGCCACATCTGACGATTTTGTGCGTGCTACTACACCACAACTGGTGCCGCGACCTGGGAGCAGGGTGGTTTGTTTTCGTTGGTACCAAGTCAACCAAGTTTCGAGTACTGAGCAAGATGGTCAAGGGGAGATCTTTGCCGAGCTGGGCCAGCCCAGCGACGGCTGGGGGTTCGCTTCACACGAAGCCGAACTCAGCTGGCGGAAGGATCGCCGACATGACGATGGAAGCGGTCCCAACCGTTCGGTTTGGCAACATCCGCACCCAAGACCGATGAAGAGATGGAAATATCGGAGATTATGATGAAGAATGGAAGAAAGCCGAGTTGCTCAGCGGGGTAGCTGAGTTCTCGCTGCATGTTGGGCGCATGGAGAAACCTTGACGAGCCCAACAAAACCTCGCAGCCGAGCTCGGTGACGATGCGGACGACGACAGTCAAGCCGTCGCTCCAGGGGACCGTCCGCCCCTGATACAACGAGCGACGAGGGCATCCAGCGCGAAATGCCCGAGTTGGGATTCGATGCCGAACGTCTCGTGGGAAACCTTTCCATTCGACTAGGGGCAATCGAATAAATGTGAAACCCGTCTGCAAATGGTGCAAGTTGCAGATGCGGTCTAAGGCTATTGCACCAAAGTGATGATCCGCCGACTTAGGGAAGACAGCAGGCTGGGTCGAGTCGAAGAATGATACTGCGTCAACTGTATGGATTATATGAATTACATGATATCGAAATGGAGTGAGCGAAGATGGAGCTGGAAAGCAAGAAGCCCATTCGCCGGGTTAGCGTTGGAGTCGGCGCGAAGTCTCAGCCGAGTTGCCGAGCTGAGCGGTTAAGCCCAGCTGGCCTGACAACGACCCAGTGAAGAAGCTAAGGAAGGTGATGGTGCGTCTGCACAGATTGAGCGAGTCAGCCGTCGATGCCGAAGCTGTGTTGACTCGTCACTGGGTCCGTGAACACGCTACCCACTGGGGCACTGTGTGTGATATGCGGCGGTACGATCGACACCCTTGGGAACGACCGCCGGGACCTCCGACCAAGTCGATGAACGATCTTCCCGTTGTGCGCTCAAGCTGAATTGGAGCGCAGGTGTGCTGACGCGGAGCTGTGCTGATATGGAGCCACGCTCAAGCAGGAAAGCCGAAGCGAAGTCGAGTTCGCACGATGTTCCAGTGAGGTCGTAATCACTCCATGTTACCGAGAGGCGGCTAGCCGAGTCGG